CCCTTCCAAGGTTTAGGAGCTTTTCTACCTTTGAGCACCAACACATCGTCTCAGGGATGTTGATCTCTTCCTTCGTTCAACCTCTCAAATGAAATCCATTGTCTGATTCTTCAACTCATGGATCTGTTGAGCAATAAATTTTCTGGTGCACTTAAAATTGTCAGTGTAACTGTTATGAGTTTCTTCTTCTTGTTATCTCTCTCTTCTTGTTTGTGTCATGATCCACGCGAACAACACCTTTTTTGATGTTGAATCCTATTTTTTCCGTTTAAGGATGTCGAATTATAATTTGTCTGTGAATCACATTCAAGGTTTGGTGTGTAATGGGGGAGAGAGAGAGAGAGAGAGAGAGAGAGAGAGAGAGAGAGAGAGAGAGAGAGAGAGAGAGAGAGAGAGAGAGAGAGAGAGAGAGAGAGAGAGAGAGAGAGAGAGAGAGAGATTGAGAGAGACTAAATAGTAACTCATTTTATTTTATTAATAAATTGATTCTTCTATTTATGGAGAATTGGGTACAATGATTATACCATGTTTTTGCCTCCGATTTAAATGGGTTTGTACCATTTTATTTATGGTATTTTATAGGTATAGATATGTCGTTGGCTACTTTCTCGCTCGTTCGACTAAGTTTAGTTGGCTCCGAGTAGGTGGGATGAGCTCGGTCGATTGAGATTGGTTAGTATGGTCGGTCGGTTAATACGACATCGATTTTAATCCTTAATCTCTGACAAGAAACTTCTAGAGCGTCCATGAGAAGATTGGAGATACTATGGAATTGTATCTTCCCTTGGATTGGCTGTACTAAAGGGTAAGTTTATTGCATCTAGTCAGCTTTGTCCTTTCTTGTTTGGCTCATATGTTATTTCGTCTTGCATCTATCCTATTGGCTCGAAAATAGGTCATCCAATAGTCTTTTTGTCTGCTTCGTGACTCAGTCGGTTTTGGCCTTGTTGGATTAACTCCGACAGTTCCACTCGATCATACAAGTGGGTCTAACGATCTTCTAGCGATGGGCAAGTCTTCTTCGTACACTTTAGATTTTTTCAAGATTCGTGCTAACACATTTTATATGTGCATGCCTATATATTGGCAGTTTGGCACTTACATATATACTCTGCTCTTAAGAAAACCAATTTCTGTATCGTTACAACAATCATGTGCCCTGACAAATAATTAAAGTCATTTTTTAATAAATGAGATTCAGTAGTGTTGGGAAAGTAAACTATAATCCGCGAAATGATCATTTAATATAATACTTAGTCTTCTTTAAATATTATTTAACAAATAAATATTTTAGGGTTTTGGCTACGTTTCACGTTGACCCAATGCCAAGCATCCCTCGTCTAAAGCAATGCCTAATATAATTTGTTTCTGAGGTAGGAGTATTTGCATATATATATATATATATATATATATATGATTTGAGCAAAAAATCCAAGATTATCAAAATATGAGTTAGTAAGCTCTTTCTAAAAATAATATAAGAAACTTATTTTCCTTGGAGAGATATAGATAGAATTTAGGAAACTTTACATATATACCAATCAAGTTCCTATGTATTTACATATCCTAACGCATGAACTTTAATTTTTTACATACACGCTGACTTATCGATGCATGAAAATGTGTATTTCACTTTTTCGAAGTTAAAAATGTGATTATTCACTTTGCTTCCAATCAACATATTATGCATTCGAATACAAATAGTGATATTTTTTATGTGATATGAACTTTTGGGTGAAAAGATGTAAAAAACAAAGTCTAGGTTTTACATGTGTAAATATATTGGAATTGGGATGTATTCATGTAAATTCACCTCTAATTTGAGAAATACTAAATAAAAATATCAAATTTGTTTCAGTTACAAGTACAGGTTTTATAACGTTGTATATAAAAAATGTGTCAACGTTAATCCTAAAGAGATCTGATGGCACATAAGATAAAAAAAATGATGAAAGAGAGCGCACCAATAGAAGATTATGAGCCCACTTTTCAGACTGAGTGTACCAGTCCGAGCCAAAAACTACTAAGGACAAAGTGGACCGAACTGTGAGATAGACAAAAAGAAAACCGAAGGATACAATAATGAGTTGATTCATAGAAGATATGGTTCCTTAGCGATGATATATAAATGTGATGTTATGTTGCTTGTATTGTTCGGTGCAGGTATGTGGAAATCTAATCGTCTATTGTATTGTTTTGTTTGTTATAGGTTTGTGTCGAATTAGCGTCAAAATATTCTGACGCTAACTACTGTAATAACCCCTTCAATAAATGAACGCAAATTAGACGCAAAAAACATTGGTACTTTTATGTCATTTGTTTTTCCGAAGCAAATTTAGTTTCATAATTTTTCGACACAAATGCGAATACAAATAAAAATCTGACGCAATTGCTAATATAAAATGATTTAGCTACACTAATTTTAACGTCATAATTTTTTCGACACTAATTCAACGCTAAACCCAATCAGCATCAGAAATTTGCCAAATTAGCAACAAAAATTTCCAAGGTTAATTAGTTATTTTCTATAGTGACATCCAAAGGCGCCCCCCTCATTAAATGTAGATTAAGGATTGATGATCAATTCATATCAATCGGCCAACTCATATCAACTAAACTTAATTGACCAAGTTGATCCCATACAACAAAGTGTATCTTAGCCCATGGAGATAGATCAAATTGAGCTCAATTGGCCAACCCAGAGAGTAGTCCGACAATATGCTCATTCAAAATACCAAGAATGCTCTGTAAAACCTCTTTTAAAACAAAGAGTAAAAAAAAAGTAACATCATCATACTGTATACTCTCTCATATAAATGATGAGATTTTTTAATGAATAAAACACGATTGATTATAAATAAGACACGATCGATGTGAATTTTACTATTCACTCTCTCTCTCTCTCTACTCTTTACTTATGATCTATTCCTTGGGTGTGATTTATGGACACATCAGGATTCAACGCATATTATAAGATTTAATGCATAAACACACAGACAAATAAGAAAGGGAACATTAAATAAAGCAAACTAGAGAAATGAATCAGGTGGGATTCACAAACAAAAAGGGAATTGAATAGATTGATTTGCATAAAAGAAAAAAAAATTGTTTTTTTAATACAACTAATGATGAAGGGATAAGAACAGATCAAAACCGGCCTCCAATTGCTTTTAGCGTCAACAAAGAACATGTGAGGATGGGCGAAAAACTATTCTGTAATAATAGAATGGGATAGTGGAGGGAGATATTATGTTTGATAATTAATGATTATATGTCTATATATATAATTGCAAAGCTTAATTTCTATTATTTTCTAACAATAATATGATTAAATTATATATTGTCATTCAGAGTACGTTAATTTAGAGAAGATTTACATACATACCCCTCAGTTCTTATGTATTTACATATCTCACACCTAAATTTTACTTTTAAAAAGAAAAAAAAATTGATATTTTTGGTGATATGAAGATTTCGATGGTATAAATGTAAGAAATCAAAGTTTAAGAGATAGATATGTAAATACATAAAAATTGGAAAAAATATTACATCAGGACTCCGCACGTAAAGTTACGTGATGAGTCCAATGAAATCAAGCCAAAGGGGAATATTCCCGGCAACACAAGTAAGATAGGGGAATATTTCCCTGATATTATTCAGGTGTTTTGTATATTATTCATGTGTTATTGTGTTCTAGAAATATTCCTGGTTTTATCTTGAATAACACACAATAACACCTGAATAATGCGGGAGGAATATTCTCTTGTGTTACCGAGCCGGTTTTTTTTTCTCACCTTCACGTTTGTGGCGTGATTTCATTGGGCTCCGCACGTAACTCTACCTGCGGATTGCTCATGTAATATTTTTTATAAAAATTGAGTGTTACGTATTCCCCTAAATTCAGTTGGGAGAATTAAATTTGTAATTGAATATATTATCATAAATGAAAATGTTGGAATATATTAAGAAGGAAACATGTCGCAATGTAATTTGACAGCGAATTGTCAAACAAATAGAATCACGAGAACTAAAACTCAGATCTTTTGGCTCTTTGCAGTTATCGGAGACGACAACGGCTGCCGGAATTTCTTTTTTTATAATTTCCTTTTAAAATAAATAAATCTCACAACTATATCCTCAAGGATAATGCTTGCCCAATTTTGTCATAAAAAAAAATTAATTATGTGCTATAATAAATCAATTTTGGCTTTTAAAATTTCGCAAATAGCAAGTATCTGTCAAAATTAATTTTTAACATATTTTTTAAAAGCAAAATATTTAAAAACTGTTATGATATTATAAATATTTTTTTAATAGCAAGTATTTGTCTAACGTATGCAGAGTTGCATGCGTCGGTAGGTTACAGAGAGGAACTTGGGGGTTTATATCTGCGTTATACCCCTGTAATCTATCTGTAACTAGTAAGTTCCACACATGTTTTCATATATTTGTAAGTTATAGTTAGGTTACATGGACGTTGCAGGGGTATAACGCAGCTATAACCCTCCAATACCTTCATTGTAACCTACCGACGTACACAAATATTTCTCCAAATTAGGATAGCATTATTCTTTGAGTTATTAAATTTCATAAAAAAACCTACCTTCCATTATAATTTTTTTTTTAATTAAATTAAATTTGCTCTTTGGCTCCCTTTTTCTTTTTTTAATTTATAAGAATAGGAGAATTTTGCATATCTAACACCTTAAGTTTGATATTTACACTGATAACACTGGTGTCATAAACTTAGCATTAAATTTTATATTGCACTTTTAAAAAGACACTATTGACTATAGAAGGTAGCATGTAAATATGTAAATGTAGGTGTTAGATATATAAATACATAATAATTATATGATATGTATGTAAATGCCCCTACCTTTTAAAATGCATGTGCCTTTTAACTTCGTTTTGTTTCTTGTTACTTTATTACTATGCCTTTTTTACTTAACCTATCTCTTAAATGCATTCAGTGGAAGAATTTAAAAAGTTGCGCAAAAAGGTCTTAGGTCTGGTCTCATGGTGAAGAGACTGCCCTAATAAAAAGCCTCCTTTTCCTTCTCCTTCTCCTTCTCCTTCTCCTTCTCCTCCAAAAATCCCTTTTTTTCTTCCACATTTTCCGCAAGAAATCAAATTTATTAAGTACAAGAAAGATAGAGAACAAACAGAGAGAAAATGGGTTATGAATCATCACTCCTCTCCTGCGTCTTCTTCCTCCTCTTCTTCTATTCTCCTCTGCTTCTGTACTCCCACGGAGTTCCTTCGCCGATCAATCTTCAGGGCTTGAGCGCGCTTTCATTCGAAGATGGCTATACGCAGCTCTTCGGCGACAGCAATCTCATGCTTCTGCGGGATGGAAAGACTGTTCATATCTTGCTGGATGAGAGAACTGGTAAAGGACTGCGGGTTTATTTTTTCGTTTTTGAAGTTTCTGAAGCTTCTTCGATTGATGTTCAGGTGCTGGATTCGCTTCTCAGGATCTCTATCTCTATGGATTCTTCAGCGCATCAATAAAGCTTCCTTCAGATTACGCGGCGGGCGTCGTCGTCGCCTTCTACGTGAGTTTCTTCTGATTAACAAAGTTCGTTTCTTGTTGTTTCCCAGGATTTTATCTGGAGAAAGATGAAAAAATTTTGATTTTTTGTGGTTTTATTTTCTTTACCGGATTAAGAATCCCTCATAACAAACTCCATTTTTTTGTGTTTCTTATCTGCTACTTTGGATTTAGAGTACCGCTTATTTCTTTATCTTTTTGACTGTTCTCTGTTTTCCTGGCTTCTGAAACCCGACGCGCACGCAAGTGATTTATCTGGTTCTGCAACTCGATTGTTTAGCAGAATCTGATCAATTTTTTTTTTTAATTTCTGGTTTAGATGTCGAATGGAGATGTGTTCGAGAAGAACCATGATGAGTTGGATTTTGAGTTCTTGGGGAACATCAGAGGAAGAGAATGGAGAGTTCAGACCAACGTTTATGGAAATGGCAGCACCGGGTTCGGAAGAGAGGAGCGTTATGGGCTCTGGTTTGATCCCACTGAAGATTTCCACAACTATTCCATTTTATGGAGCAAAAACCGGATCTTGTAATCAGTCCTTTTCAATTCCATACACTGTTTCATAAAAATCATGCCTTTAGCTCCCGCAAATCACGGCTTTAACTTCGAATATCCGCTATCTAACATCTTTTTCAGCAAATGATTCATCAGCTGTTTTCTTCAACATATTTAAATAAAAATTTCATTTTTTTTTCTTATCTACATAACATTTTTCTCTTATACTATTGAACCAAATAAAGTCAAATCTTATCTGCTATGTTACATTTTTTTTAAGATCTGATTTTTATGGTGTAATTTTTATTTTGGTTAAACAGATTTTATATTGACAACGTCCCTATAAGGGAGGTGGTGAGAACTGAAGCCATGGGAGGTCATTTCCCTTCCAAACCCATGTCTCTCTATGCCACAATTTGGGATGGCTCCAACTGGGCTACTTCCGGAGGCCGCTATAAGGTCAATTACAAGTATGCTCCTTATATCGCGGAATTCACCGACCTTATCCTCCATGGCTGCGCCGTCGATCCCATCGACCACCTCTCCACATGCCGGGGGAACGAAACAGAGCTCTATGACTTCACCACAGTGACATCTGAGCAATTCTATGCAATGAAGAAGCTAAGGAGGAAGCACATGACCTACTCTTACTGTTATGATGGTGAGAGGTACCCGGCAACGCCGGCCGAGTGCTCGGTGGATTCCCATGAGGCCGAGCAATTCGAGGGTGCGGGAAGTGGGCGGTCTGGTCACCGGCGACGCCGCGGCAAGAATCATCATCGGGCGGTGAAGACCATGGCCATCGCCATGGCCTCAAAGGAAATGACACTCTTTTAAGTAGAAATAATTGAGAATTGGTTGTTTGAAGAAATTTGAAAAGTTATTGGGGTTGATTGGTGATTATTTTGTGAATCATTTAAGGGAGGTGTATAGGTGCAAGAAATTTGAAAAGTTTATTGGATATATCATCTTTGTTTGGATCCTTATATATACATGGAGAGGCAGGGACTTTTAATTCACTATATTTTCTTATTAATATATTGCCTTTTTTCATTCTTCAATATTTTCATTTTGCTCCTCAAATAAATATTGAAGTTTTGTCATTGTTTTGGATAACTAAGAAGGTGGAGATTTTCTTATGTGAAAATTGAGGCATGATGAATAATGACACGGCAAATGATGAGATTACTATTAAGAGTAAAGTGCCAAAATAGGTTGTCATATTTTAGTATCAGAGTTTATAAAAGTGTCAAAATAGTCCCGATTATATTAAAACCATGCTCTTATTTTAAAATTGAACTCTAATATTCTCCATAGGAAATGTTTGAGCTTCAATTTAAGTAATCTGAGGACTATTTTGACACCCATGTAAATTGTTAAGAGAATTATTTTAGCACTTTACTCTCGTAAATTATTTAGTAAAAATATCATTATTCATGAAAATCTAAATAGATAATTGTATTTTTCATAATTCTGAAACTATAAGAAAGATGCAAATATAATATTGAATATTTGTCTCAATTCAAAATATTTGATGCATTATTTTTTTTTAAATATAGGGTTTTTTTTTTCTTTTATTTCTCAAATGTTATATAGAAGGTTCTATCAGTAGTGGAAGCCAGAGAAAGGAATCTTGGCTTTGATTGGGCATGAATTGGACCATATGTATTAAGTGTAGTTGGTGGTGTCATGCATCTATTTCATCATTATTTTTTCTAAAAAATTAATTAAGAGCTTAAATTTAATATTGTTGAAATTATTTTAAAAATCATGCATATTTATTACAAAAATCATTTAACACATATATAAATATTATAAAAAATTTAATATAATAAAATGGTTAAAATACATCACCTCTCATATAACCAAAGCTATTAAGCAAAGACTTTGATTGTCATTAACTTAGCTTTCTATTTTTCTTTGATTGAATAATAAATGAGTAGGATTAAATTTAATAAATCATTAAACTAAAATTAGTTTCATATTTTATGGGCTGTGAAAGAAAACTATTTTCTTTTCATTTAAATGCAAATTATTATTTTTTAATTAAATAATGTGAAAGGGCTATGTAACCAAACTTTTGGTGTTGCAATTACTCCCCTACTTTTAGTTCTATTTGCATGCATCTACCATAAACCAAGTTATGAAAAAAATAGAAATTCAAGAAATAAAGACCACATTAAATACATTTTGATGTAAAATAAATATGGTAAAATTAAATTTGTCCCTTTGAAATGAAAAGATTGGCCGTGTCATAACTCTAGTTTGTTACACTGATGTGGAAAGCAACTAAATTGGACTTTAATATTGCAGCTAGAATTCAGATGAAGAGATATGTTCTGCAATGCAGCTTTTAAGTGCACTTTTCCTTCCCCAGTTTGATTTTTTTCCAATATTGCATTCTTTTCTTTTTTATATTGCATTGTTGACATCTAGAGTTTCTTCGTTATTTTTTTTCTTTAATGACTTGGAGATTGGCAGGAGAAACAGAATTTAAGATATTGCAGGATTTAATGTTCATTTTTGCTGATTGGAAAAGGAGAAAGAGATCTTTGTATGTAGGTGTGTAACGAGCCGAACACGAGCGAGCCAGACTCAGCTCGTGTTCGACTCGTTTATATTTTGAGCTCAAAAAGTGTGTTCATGTTCGGCTTGTTTGTTTAATGTGCCAAACATGAGCTATTCACGAATAAAGAGACATCTTAATAACCCTAATCACGTAGTTATAAGATGGTTAGACTTGGGGCAAGATTTAAAAATTATTGTTTATATTAAAACATCGGTTGAATCTAATTTAATAATTTTTATTTTATTTTCTTAATTAATACTTTTAATTGATTATAAATCTGTGTAGTCTTGTAGTGAAAATATATATAATTAATGACAAGTCAAAACTAGCCGAACACGAACGAACACATTTTTGTTTGTGTTCGACTCGTTAACTTAGCGAACGAGCCGAACACGAGCTGTTCGCGAATAACAAACCGTTTTGACAACCCTATTTATATGTCGCAATTGATCGAAGGAGCCGCAAGACAATAGGAGAATGATAGAAATTCCAGAGGTCATTGTTTGTCTAAGGCGAACCACTAATAATGTGCTTATTAAAGTTTGGGTGTAAGATACATGAACAATAATATTCGGTGCTAAGAGCATGTAAAAGCTAGTAAAAATTTTGGGCAGCATAAACATAAAAAATAAAATTTAGATGTTAAGACATAAATCCAGACGCAATGATAGCAACATATTACATTGCATCACTCATCTATAAATCATTTTCTATGGAATAAAGACCAGAGCAATAGCTTCACAAACCAGACCACTTTGTAGATTTTTTTTTTTTTGAGTATTTATATTTTATGGCCATGGATTGATTATTATGATCATATAGCTAAAATTATAAATGAGCCAAATTTGAGCAAAGAAGCATCATTAAACATGGCTAGTTAGCAAACTAAACAAAATATTGTTTGACAATTAACTTATCAAGCTGAACAGATAGTATTTACTACCATAAAATTTGCTTAACATTTATGTAATACACACCATCATTTATATATATATATATATATATATATATATATATATATATACACATATACACATGCATGTATAGATGCAATTAAGCCAATATCAAACAAGGCATTGTTTCTATTTAACTGATTAAACAAATTAAATTAATCAGAAGAGTTAAATATCAAACAGAACATGATAATACAAATGAGCTTTTTTAAATGGAAGCCCAACAATTTAAAACTTATATGGAATCCCAATCCTAAGCCTATACTATACATATATATGGAAAACTTTACATTCATACCACACAATTCTTACGCATTAACGTATACCACCTAAATTTTGATATTTATAGTTATAACACTTTGGTACTAAAAATCTATGCATGAAAATATATATTTCACTTCTAAAAAGCTAGCGAGTGAAATTTCTATCGTGATGTCACTGATTTGAGTGTTAAGTTTAGCTGTTAGATATGTAAATATATAAAAATTGTGTGGTATGTATGTGAATGCCCCAATATATATAATTAATGAAATTATTATAATTCAGCTGCCCATTCATGTAAGCGTCCAAGGCGGCAAGTTTGCACCTTGAACTTGTCTAGCTAATGCTTCATCCCAGTATCCAATCCATCAGTAATAATTGAAAGAAGTTAGCCAAAATCATTCCTTGCTTTTAAGTCATGACAATATGCTTCTAAAGAGAAAAAACTGGTGAAGACAGACAAAAAGATCCAAGTGTGCATATGGGATAACAAATTGTTTTAATATACCGAAAAAAATAAAATAGATTTTCTTGCAGAAAATTCTCAAGTATTTTGTAAAATGAACTCCCAATAGAAATTCTGAGAAGAATTTGAGAGAGAAAATTACAGTGGATTCATATCGGACTCAAATTCCTTCATGAACATGAGAAAATTGTGAAGAATTCTCTTCCCTTCTGTGGTGATGACGCTCTCTGGGTGAAACTGTACTCCCTGTTGATCATTAAGCATTATTAACTATGAAATATAGCAACAGGAAGTGGAAAAAAATTTATGAAAAATGAAAAAAAAAAATGTTAGTGTTTAGAGACTAGCAAATATATAAACGGGCAGTAACATTCCATCCAATTCCTATTTATTTACATATTTAACACATAAACTTACTTTTTTTACTTTTATACAACCCAAACCTTTAAAATCACATCAACAATATAACTATTTTAACTTTTAAAAGTGAAATACACGTTTTTATGCATGGGTAAGATAGCATGTACGTAATAAATACATAGCAATTAAGTGGTATGTATATAAATCTTCCATATATAAGATCAAATACCTTGTTATCATAGATAGAAAATCAGCAAAACACACGAATTCAGAAATTTGTTGTGAAGGTTATGAATGATAGCACTGGAGAATTGAAGTCCAGATAAATTTGCATGTTCTGGGCAATCTAGAATCAAGCACATGGAATGGCCCTACGAAGCTGACAACCAGCTCTTAGAATCTGCTCTTTACTTTGACAAAACACAAATTTCAAGAAGTTTTTTAAAGCCAATTTGACAATTTTCATCAAGTGGCAAGACTTGAATTAATACGGCAAGAAAAGTAAACATAGGACATTATGATATGGAGCCCCCAGCAATAGATTGGAGTCAGCATGAAATTAACGCATAGTCAAATCTGATGCATTATAATAATAAGGGTATAATAGTAAGAAAAAAACTAGTATTGGTAAAATTGTAATGGTATAATTACAGTAGATCCAGAATAAAATATACAATGCTCGGATTTTAGCTGCCCTAGCGGCTTTTGTGATTGGCTAGAAAGGCAACCACCACAACTTCAAGTACAGCTAGAATGGGATAGAAAACGCTAAAGAAAGGTCAACAAATGTAATTAAAGTACGGATTGGGTAAGAATATAATCATTTGTGACAAATGAAAGATCATGATGGCTCCTTACAATATATGTACATCTTTTATTTGCAAAGACAAAATTATGAGCATGTGAAGGGGCATTTGATAGCTGATCAGCTCCTTTGTCTGAACTGCAGTTTTTATCAAGATATTTTTTAGAGGCAATTTCATACAGATTACCCGAAACATTATTATTTACAAATCAACCACCCTCTTTCATCAACTTTTGAAATTCTCGCTCAAATATCAAAATTAATGGTAAAACCCAACTCATATTTTTCATGTTTATCAAATTCTCAATAATTTGAGAGCGGCACACGTAAATAGATCGATTCAGGGGTTTCACAAAATCACCTAGGTGGTAGACTTATAAATAGCAAGTGTTCCCGTGGAGCTACAGTTCATAATGTGAGGCGTGGCACACGTCATTGTAAATATGACAGTATTTATACATTATGAATCAGAATGTATATGTATATATATATATATATATATATATATTTGTGTGTGTCGCAAGCCGTGGCTTGTTGGTTGGCGGGATTCACTGTAAGTTCCCTCAGGTCCGTGGTGCGGGGTTTATGAATAGCTAGGCACATGGCGCGGGCTCTCATCATGGGGCCTTGGCAAGCCGTGGCTTGTTGGTTGGCGGGATTCACTGTAAGTTCCCTCAGGTCACAAGTTCGATCCCCCGTGGTGCGGGGCTCTTGAATAGTTAGGCACATGGCGCGGGCTCTCATCATGGGGCCTTGATGCGCATGAGAAATCAATATTTGAGTCTCTGTCAAATATCGATTTCCTTTTTTAAAAAAATTATATATATAAGATAAAATTAATATGAAAATAAAAATAACAAAAGAGATGGTTAAATTAAAGATCTTATTAGAATATTAATTAATTGCTAGTTTTAGCCAATTATTAGTTTCTATTTATTCTAAGTTATTAGTTTTGATTCTTTAATATTCATTTCCTTTTCTACTGTATTCTATTTTTAATTCTCACCTCTCTATCAGGTAACCAAGAAAATCAGGGAGGCAAAACAAGGATCGAATATTATGATCCAACACCACAATGAACTCGTTGCATTATAAACGAAATGTGACCTATATTATGACTACACTTAGGAATCTCCAACAGGCCTATCTCTCTTCTAGAGAATTGTAGAAAAAGACTGCATGTTCTAATTTTTTACAGGATTCAAAAAAGATCTTGACGAAATCCGGGGTCATATCCTTAGAAGAGATCCTCTTCCTTCTGCACGTGTTTCTTTCACTAAAATTCGTCGTGAAGAGAGTCAGAGAATTGTCATGCCTGGTAATTCCATTCCTTCTGCCAAAGTATCAGCCTTGGTCTCTAATAGTGCTCAAACCCGAGCCGGTCACCCCACGTATGATTACTGTCACAAATCCGATCACACTCGTGATAAATGTTGGAAGCTGGCAGGAAACCCACATACAAACCATCGGCCAAATCATTCACTGCAAAGGGTCTAGTTGCAGCTTCTGAATCCAACACAATACAATCGATCTCTACCCATAACAACATGGAATCTACCAATTCTCTTAAAAGTTAAATGGAACACTTAATCAAGTTGTTTGGATCCAGCCAGATACCTTTCGGCTAGTTGACCTCCCACGTTTGTCAAGATACCCCTATGACAGTCACTTCTTTTGCCCTTTCTAGTCCATTGATCATTGATTCACATGCCACAAACTACATGACTAGAAGCTCTCAAGTCTTCTCAACATAATATCCTCGCACAGAAAAAGATACTATTAAAATTGCTGACGTGACTCAAAGTTTCATTGCTGATAAAGGGTATGTTGTTTTAACATGTCCTAACTCTGGAATCTGTGTTACATGTACATCTGTTGAAGTGTAAAATTTTATCTGTCAGTAAGTTGACATGACATTGATTACATTACTCATTTTTCCTTTGATGTCAATGTCTTTCAGGATCGTCTTTCAAAAAGAATGATTAGAATTGCTAAACGGGTTGGCAAGATTCTACTTCTTCCAAGAAAAAACACAGAGAACAAGGACACCCCACCCAGTAGTTGCAATTTATTTGTCCACTAAATGTCTTATTATGCTGTTACACTGTCGTTTAAGTCATCCTAATTTTCAGTATATAAAACAATTGTATTTTTGATGTTTATTAATAAAAATCATTCTAATTTTAAATGTGAACATGTCAATCCACAATTACACACCTTCCGCTTCTTTCTCTTTTATTCACAATAACTTATGGGGACTCTCTCACACTCCTATCTACACTAATAAACGATAGTTTCTTACTTTGATTGATAATCACACTCGAATGACATGTGCTTATATTTTAAAAGATAAATTTGAAGTTATTGTCACTTTCAAAAAACTTCCACCCCTATATTTCGACACTTTTATTCAAATTCTTCAGACTGACAATGGCGATGAATTTTTTAACTCTATATTAAGAGAATTCTTAGTAAGGGCATCCTCTATCATAGCTCATGTACCAACACTCAACAAAATGAGGTAACCAAGAGAAAATCGATATCTCCTCAAGGTTAATTGCTTCATATATTTAACTCTAATATCCCAAAACATTTCTGGAATGATGTTCTTACTTCAATTTTTTTTCATCAATAGAGTTCCTAAAAAATTCACAACTTCTATACCCCTTTCTCCGTCCTGAGATCGCGTTTTCCTAACAATAGGGTATTCTCCACTTTAGAACCCAAAATTTATGGGTGCACAGCCTTTATTCGGAACACAACCCTGACTTAGAGTAAACTTGATCCTAGGTCCATAAAATGTGTTTTCAACGGATACTCTGCCACTCAAAAGGGGTATCAATATCTTGACCCAATCACAAATAAGGTATATGTAAGTGTCGATGTCTCCTTTTTTTTAAAGTGTTCCCTACTTTCCTAACTCGGCTTCCAGTGAGGGAGAGCTAGAGCTCTTGGACACTGTTCCTTACCCTACTCCTGTGGATGTTCCCCCAATGTCAACTACCTTCGAGAAGTCTTTTGTTCCTTTGGTTCCACAAACTTCCCCCACCATCAAAAATCCCTTTGTCCTTTGGTTTCACTGGCACATCCTCTCACTCTCTGCGACTACACTCGACACACTTGTTCTGATACACCTACTTTGGAGCTCGTTAACCCTTTGTTGGACCCTGAATCCCTTCCAGAAGACATCCCCAGCACTGATCCTACTCCAAATAAGGAAGTCAATTTCTCTAGTAAGCTACGCAATCAGACATGTTCTCTCTATCTTGTGGAAAACTATGTTTCTTATCACAGAGCATTTACTACGGTCCTGAGCAATCATCAGCTTCCATCGACTATTGAGTTTGTCATAGTAAACCCAACCTGGAAAGCTGCCGTCATTGAGGAGATGAATGTCCTTCAGCGAAACCATACTTGGAACATTGTTGATCTTCCTCAAGAAAGCAATTGAGATACTGATGAATTTTTAGCATCAAGTTTAAATCTAATGAATCATTTGAAAGCAACAAGTCGCAGTTGGTCGCCAAAGGGTACTCACAGAACTGCAGAGTTGACTATGAGGAGACTTTTGCTCCAAATTATAAATTAAACACCATTCGGGTCTTTTTATCCCTTACAGTGAATTTGGATTAGCCCTTATTCCAGCTTGATATCAAGAATCCATTCCTGAAGGAAAATCTTACAAATGAGGTATATACGGCTCTTCCTCCAAACTTTGACTCCATTGCCTCCCAGGGGCAAGTATGTAAGTTACAAAAATCTCTCTATGGATTGAAGCAATCACCACAGGCATGATTTGGGAAGTTCACAAAAGTGGTGGTAGGTCATGGATTCACTTGGGTTCAATCCGGCACACTCTTCTTCCGACATTCCTCCAGCTATCAAGTAGCTATCATTATCGTCAATATTGACAATATTGTTCTCACGTGTAATGATCTACCAGCATTGGAGTCTTTAAAAAGCATTCTTGTTGCTTCCTTTGAAATAAAGAACTTGAAATCTATCTGGTACTTCTTAGGCATGGAATTTGCTCGGATGCCAGGGTATTTGCATGTCTCAATGAAAATATGTGATTGACCTT